CTGCCGCCAAAACTCATCCTCGATACGATACTGGCGCTTCAAAAGTGCAGAGCGCCGTTTGAACTCGATGTATGTCTCATCCGAAGGATCTGTCTGCAACTGTAGCTCAATGTCCCGAACATCCTGCTCAAGCGTCTTGAGCCTGTCAAAGATGTGACCGAAGGTATCACGGTTCCACCTCTTCAAGCTATGTGCCAGACGCTTGAGCTTAGCACCAAATATGAACATGGGACTGCCAGCAATGTCCTCCCGCCAAGAATCCGCCACAACTCTCTGAAAATCCTCGTGCTCTGTCCAGACATTAAGGAAAGCGAAAGGCCGTGCAGGAGGACGCTCATGAGACTTACACTCCACCAACAGTGGAGCATGATCAGATCCAACTCTATCCAAATGATGCACCAAACAAGAGAACATATCCATCCACGGCTGGTTAAACAGCATTCGGTCAATCCTGCTCCGTATCCCACGCCGCCCACTCGATGATTGAACCAGGTATAATCCTCCCCAGTGAAAGGAGAATCAACCAGTTCACAATCCTCCACACATTCAACAAAAGGCCGATATTTGACTGGAGCATACGGCCTGCCACCTTTCTTCTCCGAGGGATCGAGCAGACAGTTGAAATCACCCACCACCCCCCATGCCATGTCAGCCGGGAGAGCAGCGTGTGTCTCTCTAAGATATTCCCACAATGGCTCCCTGTCCCTATACTTACATTTTGCATAAACAACTGATAACCAAAGAGGACTAGGAAAAGAAGGATGAGAAAAGGAAAAGGTTAGTGACTGTGCAAAATGGGAAATAAAATGAATGGACGGTGCAATGTCAAAGTTCCAGAAGAGCCAGATTTGGTCGTCAGCACCACACCTAGCCCCCGTGAAACCCAACAGCGTCCTATAGTAGTCAATCTGCGAGGGTGCCTTCATAGGCTCCAAAATACCTAACAACACTGGGGTGTGCTGTTTAAGTAAAATTCGAAGCTTAGAAAGGACATCCTGTGAGGTGATGCTCCTCACGTTCCAAACTAGGAACCGCATCATCATTGGGAACGCGAAGAAGTGGAACGGGTGACTCTGCGTGGAGCAGGAATCACCCCCGTCTTATGCTCTGTTGCCTTTCGGGCATTCTTGGCCGACTTACCCCTAGTAGTCGGAGCCTCCCTTGCAGGAGAGAGACCACTCGCTGCAAGATCCCGGGCAATGTCAGTCGGATCCTCAAAATGATCACCCGTGGACCCGTCACTAGTCTGCGAGCTACAGTCGTCATCCTCCTTCCTTACTGAGTTGGAAGGAATGGAAGAAGCAGCAGTATTAAAGCCACAGACCTCATGACTGTCCCCAGGCATCTCCCCCAAAGCATCAAAAGTATTGGACATAACAAGAGCTAGCTCTGGGGGATGAGGATCGGGAACATGAACAATAGGAGAAGAAGAAGAAGTGAGGAGAGGAAGAGAGGCAACAACGGAGCCTGGCTCAACTCCGGTAGGAGGAGCAGATGGCTCTAAAGTCAGAGACGCCGACTGTTCAACCACAACAGGTATGGGAATTGTGGCGTTAACAGAAGAAGGAGCTAAACTAGCCTCAGGTATAACAACATTCGGTGAGGGATGCGAAGAAGTGGGCACAAAGGCCTGCAAGCCGGATGAGGGTCCCTCCCCCTTACCTAAACCATTAACATCCACGACCTCAATAGGTCTGGATCCTTTCGCTGTCTTTTCTCTCCAAACATACTGTGACTCCTCCCGCTGGGAGCCACCTGCGTTTGCACCTGCATCATCAAGAGCAATACCTTTCCCCTCCCTTTGACGTCTGACCCGACTCTTACTTCGCCTCCGGCGAGGAGGTTGGGTATTCGTGGGTGCAGCCGTGGAAGGTTGGGGAACCACAACAACTGTTCTCTGATCAGGCTGACTAGGAGTCAAAGTATTGCACGAAGAATTGTCGTGACCCTGTTTAAAACAAGCCGTGCAGTACTTTGGGATGCGTTCATATTCCACAGACTGAAACATGCCCACATCCTCCTCACCAGGGACATCAGAGAAACCAATCCAAATCTGTTCAATCCTAGGCTTCAACAAATCAATCTCCACCCTAGCCTTAGCCACATTGGGATGTGAGAAATTGGACGTAGCAATGTCCACTTTCAAACACCTCCCAATGGGCTTACAAAGCTGATGAATGGCACTTTCATTAAATAAATCAGCCCTCAAACTAGGAAAAGTCACCCACACCGGCGCAACAGAAGATTCAGTTTTAACGTTAAATTCCGGGGACCACCTAAACAGTCGCATGGGGAATTGTCCGGTAAACTGAATCTGCCCTTGCATTAAAATATCATTACAATCAAGGGGATGGGTGAATAAAAGCATAACATGGTGCGGGTCCCGATGACTAATCTGGACAGTCTCCCTAAGAATAAATTGTGCTGCAAACAACTTCCTCAATGTGGCAATTTCTGGGCGACCATGAGAGACGTTACCAATCAAAAGATAATTATCCAATTGAGAAAGTTGTTGCATTTCTGACTTTTTAAAAACAACTCCAGGAGTACCCTATGGACCGTAGGGATTTTATCCTCAACAACAACATTAGGGAGAATAGCACAAGGGCGGGAGACATTAGCCCGTAAAGAAATACCTGGAGTGGAGGAGCCTGCCACCGCTTGTGCAAAAGATTTTGGAGCGCTGGGGGCGGGAGACATCGCCCCCCTATGCGTCTCGTTGAGACCTTTCTAGAAAGTCCTCGCACGCTGAAAACGGACACTCCTAGCAAAAGTTATGCCCAAAACAGCGTAATCACCACGCTAAAAGGTTAACGACGAGGGAAAACATGCCCAAGACCGATAGGGTGTGTCTTCGACCCCGGGTATTACCATTTCGCCCACTAAAATTGCACATCATGGGATCGATCATACAAGCACTAATGCACCGGATCCCATCAGTACTCTTAAGTTAAGTTTTTTGCTTAAACTATGAGCAATACCGGCGGATTAGGAATAAGAACCTCATACGCGCAACAATTGATGGGTGCGATCATACCAGCACTAATGCATTGGATCCCATCAAAACTCTAAAGTTAAGTGTGCTTGTGTGAGAGTAGTACTAGGATGGGTGACCGCCTGGGAAGTCCTCGTGTTGCACCCCTTTTTGTTCTTTTCATCATTTTTTTGCAAGTTATGTGCTTGATTCTTTTAAAAACCGTCTAGCGAGCACAAAGGGTTGCGTGAACTTCCAAAGTGCGTCGGGAAGCCACACAAAACAAGGGTGGCCGAAACCCAAAATGAACAGAAGTCAAAACGGGCCTAGGAACGAGAAATAAATGGGCTGAACATAAAATAGGCCTCAGGCCCGGAAACGAGCGAAATTGAGGTCAAAATTGAGCCCCGATGGGTCTCCGAC